TCCAGAGTCCTTGCTCCATTGGAGCAAATTGAATTCATGCAGGGATAGCTTCAGCACCATTCGCACATCTATATATGGAACAAAACCCCCAAATTCATTCAGCTATGGTAGAGGGCACCAGGGGAGGGCAGAGGGCCCTGTTCCATCCTGAGCTTAGAGAATAGATCAGGGTGTTCTCCTGGTGAGTTAGGGAGGTGGTCAGAAACCTCAGCTCTGTTGGTGACCACCTGGCTCTCATCCAAGTCTGCCATTTGAGTAGCCGAGTGACCTCAGGAAGTCGTCAGCCTCTTAAAAGTTCAGGTCTTCTTGTTTGTAAAAATGGGATTCTAATCTCTATCTAAAAGATACTGGGAGAATGAAGTGAACAAATATATGGGAAGTGCCTGAGAGTCAAGTGAGGAGAAGATTCCATACACTCAGACACACAGACACACACACGCCAAGAGCAGAGAGAGGGGGAAGAAGGTATGGTGTGAGAATCAGGATAGGAGTCTGGGGAATGAACCTCCCCTGTCCCTTCAGAAGCAGCCCTCGGCCCACATACCTGATGGCAGGTGGCAGGTAAATATCACAGCTCCCTTGCCTCTTTGGTGCCTCCCAGAGTTCCTAACAGGATTAAGCTCTGCCTATATTAGTAATTTACTCAACAGGTTACGTAGGCAGCTTCCTCTTTCTATATTTCCTTCTCCCAATATACTACAGGTTGATGATCCCTAATCCAAAATCTGAATCTTTTTGTGTGCTAATATGACACCACAAGCGGAAAATTCCACACCTGACCTCATGGGACAAGTTGCCATCAAAAAAGCAGGTGCCTTTTTTTTTTTCTTGTCCCAAAATTCTGTTTATTTCTCATGTGGAACAGTGTTTCTTTTTGTTGATTCTGTAAGCTCAAGGTCTAAACTTCTACTCCGTGTGGCACATCTACATTTTTTTTCTTGCTGAACAAAATGCCTTCCTTCTGAGAATTTGGTACCATCTGTTGGAAGAATGTTTTTTCATTCTACTACCAAGGATCATTTAGAGTTCGGTGGAGGAGACAGATATGACTCAATTAATAACAGGAAGTGAATTAAGGGAAGGAAAGGGAAAGTGCTAAATATAAAAATCACCACCAATGTGACTGCATGAGGGCAATTCGAACATCTCTGTAGCAGGATTATCTCTTCCAGGAGTTTAGTGGCAAAGGAATAGGCCCAGTGTGTGGGGACACTCCCAGCTCAAACTGTACAACTAAAAATGTTGCTTCATTTCTCTGTGTTTCTCTGTATATGTGTGTTTTACCTTTTTTGGCCTCCACTGTTAAATATCTTGATTTTTTTCCCCCTTCTATAACTTCTTCTTGCTGGTTTATTTGTTTTGAAGTAATTTTAGGAGTCCTGGGTCCAATAGTAGACAGCAGTTTAACTGGGAAAATACTCAACCCATCTGCCTGTCCATTTCCTCCTCTGAGTAATGAAGTAGGGACAAGGCCACCTCAGATGTCTCATGCTACAGGATGAGTCCACTGCTCTGTGACTCTCCTGCCACTCCTTCAGTTCTTGGAAGACAGAGCCCATTTTTACAATTCTTCTATCTACTTTTCCATCCACTTGTTTGTTTCCGGTTCCCACCGAGGTATGCATAGGATGGTAACTCAGTTGAAATCACCAGCTTCCTCCTTCCCCCTTCCTTCTGTGCTAGAGACTTCTGAGTGTCAGTTGGCGGATGGGTGGGGGAGCCTGGGTGGGGGGAGTCTGGTCTCAGCTGCAGTGGCCCTGTCTCGGTGCTCTGCGGATAGCCCTGAATACAGCAGGCCCCGGGCTGCCAGGGGTGCAGGAATGAGGACTCTGATCCCAGAGCCCCAGAGGCATTGCCAAACTAGGAAGAGGGGCCTGAAGCAACTGCATGCAGTACAGGGGCCAAAAGAACTGGGCCATGCTGCTTGGAAGAGGATGGCGCCCAGGAAACAAATCTGCTGGAGAGCTCAGAGGAGGAAGGAGCCAGGGCCCTGGCTAGGCAAGGGTGGTACAGCCATCAGTCAGACAGGCAGTCTGGCCATTGTTGGAGCAGCCACTTTAGGCACAGCCCAAAATTAGGTCCCCTGAGGACACCCAGAGGAAGGAAGGGTTATAATCCCCACTGCTTGGAGAACCTAGTAGGCCAAGGAGGACATGGCCACAGTAACCACAACTTCTGATTGAAAAATCAGACAAGCAGACTAACAAGTATAAATGTATTTCTGACATTAAAGAAATGTAATATTTTAATCAAGAAATTCCCTTAAAAAAAAAAGTCAGCATCACCAACAGTTGGGACACCAACAGTTGGGACACCCACACCCTCAGGGAAAACCCAAAGCATGCAAGTAAGACCCGCTGAGAGCAAAACGACATGTTACACTTAAGAATAAGCTGACTCTGACTGTTGCCCTGTGTCTCTGCAACCCAGCTGCCTATTGGATCAGTGTTCTCCCCTCAAAAGTGAACCCCAGTGATTTCTGCAAATTCCCAAAAGGGTGCCTCATGTGTGTCTACAAACCAGTCCATCATTTGTAGTCATCAGTTGGTGCCCTCGTGGATCTCACTCCTCCTCCCCAGTGCCCCATCATCCCAGCTGTTCATTATTCTATCACACTGCTTGAGAAGCCCTCTGAAGGAACGGGGGCAAGTGCAATATCCACCAACTGGTTGTTGAACACCTACAATGTGCCCCTATAATAGGCATCAGGGATACAGAGACAAATAAGACCCAGTCCCTAAGTCAGTTATCTGCATATTAGGAGAGAAAGACACACAGTGGCCCATTACAAGCTTCCATAGATCTACTTATCTGAAGCTACCAGAAGCTGGACTGCAAAACTGCTCACTCTACACTGGGACATACAGTTGCTGTGATCTTCCACGTGAATTTCACAGCCTTCCAGAGGAACAGAAGAAAAACTAAGTATCAACCTATTGCAGTAATTCCAGTCTGCCCCAACCATTTTGTTTGAAAGCACAAGTCCATATAGTAATTCACTTCCCCAATGCCCATGAACCTGGGCCAAAGCCAGGAGCTGGAAACTCAATCCAGGTCTCATGTGGATGGCAGGTACTCAATTACATGAACCATCACTTCTGCCTCCCTGGGTGCACATCAGCAGGAAGCTAACATCAAGAACCAGGTATCAAACCCTAGTACTCCAATGTGAGATATGAGGATAACTATATTCCTAAAGTTGTACATATGAAATTTGTATTCCTCAATAAATAATTAAGAAAATTTTAAAGAGAAATTGAACACTGACTTTCTCTTCCTTTCCATACTGCTGTAACAACAGCAACTCTTCCAGAGGCAGGCAGGTACCTTGAGTAGTCTAAGGAAAAGTCAAAGACAGAGATGCAAAGGGAGGAAGAAAACCTCATTTGTATATTCCAGATATTGTTTTGGAATTCCTTCTGTGAAGTTCAAAATCAGCACTTCCCAATTGTTCTCCCCTTGCCTTGGCATAGATGGGATGTGCTGTGATGCTTCAGTGATAGTAACTTGGCCTATTCAGGCTTTCTTTAGGATGGTGTAGAGAGTATTTAGAGAGACAGTTACTATATTTATAAAACTAAGACCAGGGTTAGAGACGACCAAGAGGGGAGTTAAGAACTTTAGTTTCATCAAGAGTGTAAAGATCTGGGGCCGGCGCTGTGGCGTAGCAAGTAAAGCTACCACCTATAGTGCTGGCATCCCATATGGGCATTGGTTCGAGTCCTGGCTCTCCTCTTATGATCCAACTCTCTGCTATGGCCTGGAAAAGCAGTAGAAAATGGCCCAGGTCCTTGGGCCCCTGTGCTCACATAGGGAACCCAGAGGAAACTCCTGGCTTCTGGCTTTGGATTGGCACAACTCCACCACTGTGATTGATTGGGAAGTGAACCAGCAGATGGAGGACCTCTCTGTGTGTGTTTCTACCTCTCTCTGTAACTGCCTTTCAAATAAATCAAATAAATATTTTTAAAAAAAGATTATAAAGATCCATGGGACAGGCCGGCGCCGCTGCTCAATAGGCTAATCCTCTACCTAGCGGCGCCGGCACATCGGGTTCTAGTCCCGGTCGGGGTGCCGGATTCTGTCCCGGTTGCTCCTCTTCCAGGCCCGCTCTCTGCTGTGGCCCGGGAGTGCAGTGGAGGATGGCCCAAGTGCTTGGGCCCTGCACCCCATGGGAGACCAGGAGAAGCACCTGGCTCCTGGCTTCGGATCAGCACGGTGCGCCAGCCGCGGCGGCCATTGGAGGGTGAACCAACGGTAAAGAAAGACCTTTCTCTCTTTCTCTCTGTCTCTCTCTCTCACTGTCCACTCTGCCTGTAAAAATAAATAAATAAAAATTTTTTAAAAAAGATCCATGGGACAGATATAAAAAAATAAAAGTTGTAAAGGTCATCTCTTTAAGAAAGAATTTGGTAAGCATGCTCCTATCCCAGAACTTTATCTACCTCCCTATCAGCTCCTCCAAGACAGCAGTTGTTTATCCCATTTTACAGATGTGAAATCAGAGGCTCAAAGAGGTTGTGAGCCAGTCCCAACACCTCAGTGACTAAGGCCACATGCCCCTGGCCACTCTTGCGAGAAGGGGCCAGGGTAGAGATGATTCTCCTCTCTGCAGCCTTGAGAGAGGGGGTCCCTCTGAGCAGTTAAGCTGACAGCCCAGGAAGCTGGCTGTTGGGGCATTCCCTTCACTTTGCTCTGACATGTGCTAGGAAATTGGCTGGAATCAGGGTAGTGAGCAGAGTGGCTCTTGGAAAGAGATTCCCAGCATCTATGATTATGCCATAGCAGACCTTCCCACCAGGACAAAGTCAGGTGTGAAAATCAGATAATTCAAAGCCATTTTCAGGTATTTATCCTTTGGGATGGAATGGGGATTTTGCATTTCTTCAGCTGTTCTCTGGAGTCTTTTTTAAAAGCTCCTCCCCCTCCCATTGCAAAGCTTATTGGAGGTCTGTCCTGGCACAGACCTTCCTTCCCAGGAATCAGGAGTGTGAGGTGGAGACAGGAGAGGTTGGGACACAAGGGCCAAGTTGAGAGTGTGTCTCAACCCAGTGCCTTCATTGAGCCCGGATCTTCATCTGCCCTGGCAGTGGAGCTTAGCACAGACAAGCCACGAACTGCTGGGCCACCACTGCCCCCCACTCTGGCACCTGCCTTGCAGATTATCTCTTAAGCAGATAGATACCCCCTTCCATACTGGGGATGTAGAGCTTGGAAACTAGAAAATGCTAGGTCTGAGAGAGGGGAAAGAACAAGCCCAGCAACACACAGAGCTCTGTGTATTCAGAGGGAAGTTGGCAGAGCTGTGTTCGGGCAGAGAAACTCCGAGTGGTACAAAGGGACGTGCTCAGAGTGGAGAAATCATGCTAATTGTCTGCACCAGAGCTGGAGAACGCCACCCAAAATGAAGAGAGAAAGGGGAGCCCTGTCCAGAGCCTCCAGGGCCCTGCACCTCGCTCCTTTTGTCTACCTACTTCTGATCCAGACAGGTAGGAGACCAGAAGGGGAAGAAAGGGGCTGGAGAAAGGCCCCAGGGCTTGCAAAGGAGAGGGAGGGGAGGGTGGAGGGCCCGAATGCCTTTGGGGTGGGAGGAGGGAGAGAGCCCAGCTGTCGTGGGAAGAATCTCAGTGAATCCAGGCATTAGCGTTGAATGTATTTTTTCATTCCGTGAGCCTCCGGCCGGGCCCTGGTCCCCCTCCCCTCAAAGGCGGCATGACTTGGGAGCTCCCACGGCATTCACTGCATTAGATGGAGGGCACTGGGCCATGTCTTATGGGATGACTTGCTGGCGTGCGACAATTCGGCATTCTTTCCAAGGGATTATGGTGGGGCTTGGAGGGAGGGGCAGGGGAAATCTTGGTTTTGTGCCTCCCCGGCCCCTACTCTAGCTTCATAGAGTGTCAAACAGATAGGGAGATGAACGATGCCCTGGAGATAATGAGCCTTCTGGTTTGGCGTAGTTCATACCAACCTATCTGCAGGTCACTCTACTATGCCACGGACACGTACCTCCTGTAGCGCCCCCTGCCAACTCTTTGGATAATTGATCTTATTTTAAATGCACTCGTGTATTTTTGTGTACACACACACACACACACACACACACACAATACAGAGAGGCCAGGAATTCACAACTCAATGGGCAGACAGATGCAGCGATTGTTGTGATAAAATGCAGGAGCTACTGTGAGTCATGTTTGCAGAGAATGCATAGGAATCAGGCCATCTACCAGGAAGCTAGATCTGGCCACGCAGGGTGAGGGTGGGGATACCAGGAATGGCTTCGTGCTAGAAGGAATGTCTACATGGAATTTTAAAGAATGAGAAAAATAGGTAGGAATGTGAGTGGGCATTATTGTTGGGGAAATGGGCAAAGATCAACAGCTTGAAATGGCACCATGTGTTTAGGCGGAGCCCAAGAGTTCACCATTGCAGGGGAGGAAAACGTGAACTGCGTTAGGCAGCAACCTCAAAAACCATACTCAAGAACCTGTAATATCACCTGTAAATGATGGCAGGGAAAGGGAATCCATTGGTTGTTAGTTTGGGGGTTGGCAAGGTTAAGCTACTCAAGTAGCACCAGTCTGTGGTGACAGGAAACTAGAAGAAAACAAAATAAGAGAGGAAGCTTGCACTGGTCACCCAGTGCTGCTGTGATAAAGCACCAGCAGCTGGGTGGCCTGAACAGCAGATATTCACCATCTGAGTTCTGGAAGCCAGAAGTTGGAGCTGAAGAAGCAGTGGGACCATGTTCCCTCTGAGGGTGCAAGACAAGGGTCTGCTACATGTCTTCTTCCTAGGGTCTGCTAGTTCCTTGGCTTGAGGCAGCTTAACTTCAGTCTTCACATGACACTCTCCCTGGTTGCATATCTGTGTTCACAATTCCCTTTTTATCAGAATGTATGCTGGAGTAAGCCCACCACACTCCAGTATGAGCTGATCTTATTAAATCTGCAATGATCCCATTGCCAAACAAGGTCGTTTTCTGTGGGACGAGGGGTTTAGGACTTCAGCATATGAATTTTGGGTGAACACAATGGAGCCCCTAACAAGGCTATTGCAACAGTATAGGAAAGAAATAACACAGACTGGATTTGAAGTAAGGGTAGGCAATAAGGCCTATTGATATGAAATTTTGGAGGTAAAGTCAGGACCCAGGGATTGATAGGAATTGGGAAGATCCAGAGTGGGTGGTAGGGTTTCTATGTAAAACTGTAAACAAAAAATGGGGTAGGGTTGAGTGACATGGTGATTAGTATTTTACATATTTAGACTGAAGCCTATGAGGCTTCATATGAAAACATTAAACAACCTGAAGCTCAGTGGCAGAGCAGTCAAGGTTAGGAAGAGGCATTTGGAAGCTGTTAGTGCATAGGTGAGAGTTTAAAAAATGAGAATCGTTATTCCTTAAGAGGAGGGAAAAATGGATTGAAAATGGAACATCAAGTAACCCCAAGATTGTAAAGGATGAAAAGCCCATTGAGGAGACCAAGAAGAAGCTGTTAGAGAAATAGAAGGAGAACCAGAAAGTCAAGAGTTGAGTTTTCAGGAGTAAATCAACACCATAAAATGCATCAAAGAGATCTTGTGTAATAAGAACCTAAAGTTAGGAGGTTACTGTCTCAGTGTAAATTGCATTGAGTTGAGGAAATAATGAGAAGGGAAGTTATGGAGACAGTGAGTAGAGAATGAGACGGGCACAATCAAACATACAAAGTGGAGATACCCATGCAAGGTCTTTTAGGTCATTAAATGGTAAGGAAAACAATTACAGGAAGATCCGGTCATCCAGTGTGACCAGGCAAAAGCAGAGGATGACAAAGGGTCTTCTGTGTGAATAAATATAACTTCATATATACAACAAAAAATCTAAATATAAACTATGCTAAAATACCAGTGGTAGCTTATAATAGGTGAGAGAGAAGTGCAGTCTCAGGTCATTGTACTGGTATGAACTAAAGAATAATAAGAGGTGAGATCCTATAAGGAATCCTTGTCATTCTTAATGTTTTGGTTATGAAAATGCTAGTACACATGACAAATAAATTCTGAAATTTAACTTCTTGGCATAAACTGTGTGATAGTCCAATGTAGTTTCAGACTAGACCTGGAATAAGGAAGGGCCCTGATTCATGATGGTAGAGCCGATGGTGCTCTACCGATTATGACTTTTGACATGTTTATTTCTTTTCTTTAGTTTCATCTCTATTTCTTTTCTTTAGGTTTATTTCTATCTCTTCCATGTAGAAAATTAAAACGATAAAAAGAGGAATGGTAATGTTCAAGGGAGAAAAATCTCCCTTCAACCAAGACTATAAGTGGCACAAATTCCTCTACTAGTTCTATGGTTTGACTTAGTCACACGCTATCCGTAACTGAAAAGGGAACTGGGAAATGTAGTTTTTAAGATGTGGCCCTAAAAAGGGCACTGAACCGTGTGACCCTAGCTCCTGAAGATTTACCTTAATCTTTCGAGCAATGGTAGTGATCACTGAACTGGCCTTAGGTAAACAATTATTCAGTCTTTGATGCTATGACCCGGATGTGGACAAATGAGAATTTCCTAAGTTCATTACATCACAATTCTTGGAACATTCAAAGAAGGCTTTTCCTGTGGCTAGGACATTAACTGAAAGACATAAGCATAGCATGGCATAAACCTAGATCATCTACTTTCAAGGTTTTACTTGCTAGAATCCTATTAGTATTCCATTCTCTAGGGACCCAATAGGAACAAATCCCTTGCCTGGGTTCCACCCCTTTTATTTTGAAATTCATTTCTGTGTAGTAGGTGCTACCTTTTTTTGGTAATTGAAAATTTCACACAGGAAAATGCATTTAGAATGAAGATACGGTATAAACAGCATAGTTCATATACTTTAAAAAGTAAACAAACTCATGTAATCAGTTTCCAGGTCAAGAAATAGAACACTTCAGTAGCCCAGAATCACCCATGTACTATTTCAATTACTACTGTCCTCCCTGCCGAATTATAGTGGAATACTAACTTCCAATAGATTGGTTTTGCCTATCATGAATTTTATATAATTGTAATCATTTGCATGCTTTCAACTGTCTTCCTTTACTGAACACCAAGTTTCATCTATCTTTGGTCTCATTGCTGTGTTATTCCATTGTATGACTACACCACAATTTGTTTGTCTATTTAACTTTCATAGACACTTCAGTCATTTTCAAACCAACTCAGTCAACTCTGCCCCATTGGTGCTTCATGAATTGAGCATTAAGGTTTCAAATACATGACTTTTGGTGAACAGATAGGGACATTTCTTTTACAGATATGCCTACGAGTAGAATTGCTGAGTTGTAGGGTATATATAGTTGTATGTTTATACAACTCATATGTAGTTGTATGTTTAGCTTTAGTGGAAACGACCTAACAGTTTTCATAAGTGTTTGTTGCGATTTATAACCCCACCAAGATGTATGAGAATTCCAGATCATCCACATCTCCACCAACAACTGTATTTTCTCTTTCATTCTGACTCTCATTTCTCTTTCATTCATTTCATTGTATTTATTCTTTCATTCATTTCCACTTAACTATTCTAGTGATTTAATATTGCATTTCCATGATACTTATGCAGTTGGTCTTTTTTCATATTAATCATTTGGATGTCTTTTTGTATCTATTTTAAATATTTTGTCCACTTTCCTATTGTTTACTTTTCTAAGAAATCATTTAGGAGTTTAAATACGTATTTTGTATTTGAGTTCCTTATAGTTTATACAGATTGCCAATATGTCCTCTTGCTCTATGGCTCTCCATTTCGCTCTCTAACTGGTACCTTTTAATGAACAGAAGCTCTTACATTGTGTCTAGCTGATCATTTTCTTCTTTTATAGTTACTACATTTGTGTCTTACCTAAGAGATTTGTGTCTACCCCCAAGTCATGGAGATATTCTCCCATGTTCTCTTTTCTAAATGTCATTGTTACTGTTTTACCTTTAACATTTAGATCTACAGTCCATCAAGAATTGATAATTTTTAAAATTAAGATGTGAGGTAAGGGTCAAGATTCATTTTTTTTGCCCTATGTGGCCTAGTACTGTTTATTGGGGGAAAAAAACACTCCCTACATTACAGTATCACTTTTGTCATACATTGTATGATCATATAAGTCTATTTGGGGATTCTTTATTCTGTTAATTTATGCTCATGCCAATATCACAAAATAAACTTCCTGGAATTTTGAATAGTATTATTGTATTAAATTATAAATCAGTTTGGAAGAATTGACAGTTAACGATGATTGTTCCAATCCACAAACATGGTAAATCTCTGCGTCCCCTCTTTTTTTTAATGTTTATTTATTTTCATCTACTTGAAAGGCAGAGCAACAGAGAGTGAGGGACAGAGAGAGAGAGAGAGAGAGGAGAGAATCTTCCATCTGTTGGTTCATTCCCCAAACACCCACAGGAAGGCTGGGCGAGGTCACATCCAGGAGCCCAGAACTCCATCCAGGTCCCCCATGTAGTTGGCAAGGATCTAAGTAAGTATACCATCATCTGCTGTCCCCAGGCTGCATTTGCAGGAGACTGAGTAAGAAGCAGAGTGGCCAGGTCTCCAATATAGGATGCAGGTGCTCTAAGCAGTGGCTGCCCTCTGTATGCCATCTTAATACCTATTAGCTAGGTGAACATCTACATTCCTTAGAATGTAGATAAAAAGTTACCAACCTTTGCTTCCGTTTTATAAGGGCCTTCTTCACGGTTTCTGTGTCCTAGTTTTCTCCTATATCCCTGAGTGATTGCACTGTAAATGATGTCACCCTCTCATAGGCCCTTATAGGCCTCAGCAGGATTACAACGTAAGAATACAACATAATAATCCCAGCATGACACAGTAAGTAATGCACCTGTACAGCAACAGCAAGGGAGGGGCACTGTTTTCTCAGAGCATCATTAATTAGGAAGGATATTAAAAATCAAAAGCAGAACCAGCATGTTTTTCCTTTCAGAGAGCCAAGCTGCGGGCTGCCCTTGAATTACTGTATGCAATTCTGGTCATCACACCTCAAAAAGGAAATGATACAGTCAGAGAAAGCTTAGAGAAGGGTATCTCTGATGGCAAAAGGACAGGGGGACTTCTCCATGGAGACAGACAGCAACAAAACAAAACCCTTCAGGTAGAATGGGATAGAAACGCAGTCCTGGGTCATAGAGAATGCGGATAAAGTGACCAAGTATGGCATCCCCTCAGTGACATTTTTTAAAGGTAAACTCAAGGCATATACTGGGAAAGGAAACTTTTGCCCAGCAAAGGGAGCACCTAAAAATGATTAGATGTGGGTGGGCATTTGGCCCAGCAGTTAAAGATGCCCATGTCCCATATCAGAGTGTCTGGGTTTGAAATCTGCCTCTGGCTCCTAACCCCAGCTCCCTGCCAATGCAGACCCTGGCAGGCAGCTGTGATGGCTCAGGAATTGGGTTCCTGCCACTCATGTGGGAGACCTGGACTTCATTACCAGCTCCTGGCCTTGTCTTCATCCTCTGTTCAGGGCTGCTTGTGTGCATCTGGGGAGTAAGCCACTGGATGGGAGCTCTCTGTCTGTCAAACAAAAAATTAAGTACATGATGAGTTCTTTAAGGAAAGAGAGTTACACAAACTAGGGCTACATGTAGGAGTATCCTAACACTTTAAAGCTCTGACAGTCCTTGGCACCACAGCAGGTCAAAATCCCAAGTGAGGAGGGGCCACCACCTAACCCAGCATGCATTGTTTAGGTTGACAGGAACATCTTGCTGAGCTGTTTATTTCCTTTTGTTCAGCCTCTGGTGGGAACACAGACTTTCTAAGCAACGATGCCTCAGAGACAATGAGCATGTTAATAGCTTCTCCAGGTTGAATACTCCTGGTCCCCTTTATTTTCACTCTGGGCGGCAGTTAGCCATTTCCTCATTTCTGTGTCCTGCTTTGGCTCCTGTCCCAGGCTTCTGTGTCCTTTGAAAGCTGTGGAACCCTGAACTTAACACAGACCGGGGTTGGCTAGCATTCTTGGGAAATAGCGTTTGCTCAACAAAATGCTCTCTTTGTCAGCCTCTGAGGGACTCCTCCTTTGCTTATGAACTCATATGCATACCATGTTCATGGGCACGAGGAGTGCACCACCTAGACAAGGTGGCAATCCGTAGGCTGCAGCTTCTCCAGTGTTTTCTTCAGAATGAATCGACTTTAAGTTGCCATAAATGGCAGATTTGAGGGGGGGAAGACATCACAACAGGACAACCGGGAGTGGAACCCGGGAAGCTTAAGGTAGGTCAGAGAAGTTGGCAAGCAAGGAAGAATCCCTTCCACCTGACCTTGGAGCTGGGGCTGGCGCTGCCCAGCCCCCTGGAAGAGGGAAAGGAGAACCTTCAATGTTTGCTACTTGGGGGTCACACATAGATTTGCTGAACTCCAAGATGACTCTGCATATATAACCCTCATGCACATTCCCCGCTGCTTCAGATTGGGTCCTGAGAAAGGGGTAGATGTTTCCCCACGTATCTGATCATCGACGTGGCCTTTCATGAAGCACCATGATTTTCTCAGGGCCACCCCACACCATACATACCAAAGCCCATTTGCTGACACAGGGAGATTTGAAAGCTTGCTTTTCTGAGCCAAACCAAGCCTGGGAAGTAGCAGCTGCTAGGCAGGAAATCCCAACTAGCTAAGCACAGAAACTAAGAGTTGGAAGAAACATTGAGGGTCATTCGGCCAGATGAATTTCTGTCTGATGGACCAAGCCATAGGGACTCCAACTCCCTGCCGTCCCACTCCCCAGTCAAGAAGGTCTGACAAATTCACCCTGAGAGCTAATGACCTATGAGTTTTAATGGGTAAGGAGTTTAGTCTGCATTACTCTTGATGCAGCTCAACGACAAATAAAAGTACCTGGAACATAGCAGGTGCTCAACAAATATTGCCTTAAAAAACACTTATTTATTTGAAAGTCAGAGCTAGAGAGAGAGAGAAGGGAAATCTTCCATCCCCTGATTCATTCCCTAGATAGCTTTAACGGCCAGGGCTAAGCCAGACTAAAGCCAGGAGCCAGGAACTTCATCCAGGTCTCCCATGTAGGTGGCAGGGGCCCAAACACTTGGCTTATCTTCTGCTGTTTTTCCCAGGCCACTTCCAGGAAGCTGGATTGGAAGTAGAGCAGCCAGGACATAATCTGGCACCTATCATGGAATGCCAGCATTGCAGGCAGCAGCACAATGCCGGCCCCTCCATTAATATTTCCATGAACAGAGCACATAGAGCACACAGAGGCAATGAAGAAAAGTGCCAGAGAGCCAGAGGACCAGATGGAAGAAGGACTGGGGGGCAGGGATTGGCTGTGAGGGAGACCAGAGGGCAACAGAGCCAGTGGGAGAGGAGATAGCACCGACAGAGAAGAAGCAAGGTCTGGCAGGGAGTGAAGGGCCCAGAGAGGTGGGGCTGTGGGGGAGCAGAGGGCTTAAAGGTGGGAGTGGGCTAAGGAACCAAGGGCCTGACACTGCCCTCTTCCCCATGGGCTCCTGGTCGCAGACCCCCTGGAGGGGGTGAACATCACCAGCCCGGTGCGCCTGATCCATGGCACGGTGGGGAAGTCGGCCCTGCTCTCTGTGCAGTACAGCAGCACCAGCAGTGACAAGCCCGTAGTGAAGTGGCAGCTGAAGCGGGACAAGCCAGTGACCGTGGTGCAGTCCATCGGCACGGAGGTCATTGGCACCCTGCGGCCCGACTATCGAGACCGAATTCGGCTCTTTGAAAATGGCTCCCTGCTTCTCAGCGACCTGCAACTGGCGGACGAGGGCACCTATGAGGTTGAGATCTCCATCACTGATGACACCTTCACTGGGGAGAAGACCATTAACCTCACTGTGGATGGTAAGATGCCCTGGCAGGGAATGAGGCAGGGTAGGCACCTGGGTGGGGGCAGGATCTGCCCAGAACACCAACTAGACCCAGGGCAGAGCAACACAGAAGACACCTGGGAGCTAGGAGTGAGCCAGTTGGGTGTTAGAAGTTGGCAGGGGCCGGTGCCGTGGCTCACTAGGCTAATCCTCCGCCTTGCGGCGCCAGCACACCAGGTTCTAGTTCCGGTCGAGGCGCCGGATTCTGTCCCGGTTGCCCCCCTTCCAGGCCAGCTCTCTGCTGTGGCCCGGGAGTGCAGTGGAGGATGGCCCAAGTCCTTGGGCCCTGTACCCCATAGGAGACCAGGAAAAGCACCTGGCTCCTGCCATCGGATCAGCGCGGTGTGCCGGCCA